GGCCCGGCAGGCTCAGGCTGCTACCCATATGGCTCCAGGTGGGCTACTCCCCGGAGGCCCCGGCCCACGGGGAAGCCCACATAGGACAGCCCTTTGCAGGACTCAGTTTCACTTGGTGACAGTCAGCTTCTGCAGTCCTATGACCTCATCCAGCTGCCCATGGGCAAAAGGCCCACAGCAGAGGTGGAAGAATGCTTGCTCAGGGCTGGCACAAAGGCCCCGGAGCCAGGGTGGGAGCAGGGACACAAAGGGGTCGGCCTACTGCCAGGAGAGCTGGCTGTCTTGCAAGGTGGGAGGGTGGGGGTAGAGGCACCAGTCCTCACTCCAGCTGGCACAGCCCTGGTCCAGGCCTGGCAGTCGGTGGCCTCATCTGGCACAGGGGGTCAGGCCCCTAGGCCTGAGGAGGGTGTGGTCCTCACTGGGGCAGGCAGTGCTGGTGGGGAAGCCAACCCGGATCGGCTGGGCCCCTCACCCAGACCCCCTTCTTAGGCTAACTCCCATCTGCCTCTCAGACTTGTGGGGCTCTCCTGGCCCAGGGCCGGTAGTAAGACCCCATGGGACAAACCAGGCGAGTCTCCGCCCAGCTCACAGCTGGCAAAGGGGGGGCCCCAAGCGGGAAAATGACTTGCATAGGTTCAGGGGCCTAGACCTGTGTCTCCCGACTTCCACACGTGGGCCCTGAGTGCAGGCACCCCACCCCACCTGTCCTGGGGAGGCTGAGTCAGCCCGATTCACAGCCACACCCCCTCCTCCCCTCCCTCCAAGGCCGACCCCGCGATAGTGGGAGTGGGGGGCTCGCGCCCCCCTCCGGGGGCGGGGTCCCTGGGCGAACCCTGCAGCTGCAGAGCTCCCCCGCCGTGCCCGAGGGTGGGCCCTGCAGGCGGCGCGCAGGGCGTCCCCGCGGCGTCCCCGCAATGGGGCGCACGGGGCGCGGGTGCACCAGGGTGCACGGGGTCACCGGGCGCGGGACGGCGGGCCTCACCTGACGAGCGCGGCGGCGGGCGCGGCCAGCAGGCCGAGGGCGAGCAGCAACAGGCTGGGGACCTGCATGGCGGCGGCGGCGGCGGCGGCCCGGTCACAGCGGAGGCCCGGGAGGTCGCGCGCTTATAGCCGGGATGACGGCGCACTCGGCTCGAATCAGCTGACACGCTTGTTTGCACCCGGGCCGGTCACGTGAGCTGCGGCGGCGTGCGCGGGGGCGGGGACAGGGCGGGGCGACCACGACCCCGCCCCCAGCCAGCCCCGCGCAGACGCGCCCTGCTCCGACCCTCACAGCCTTCGGGGGGGGGGGGTGCCACCGCCTTTCCCGCGGTGGATCCGCGCGTGACCCGAGAATGGTGGGGCCCGGCGTGGGTGCGTAGTGTGCGGCGCGGGCGCGGCCGGCCACCGTGTCTGAGCCGAAGGGGACCGCATCCGGGGCCCCCTGGACGCCTCCAGCCGGGTGCCTCCCCCGGAGCTGCGGCTCCTTCCCCACCCAAGCGCGCTGAGTACGCCCCCGCCTAGGCCCGGCAGCCTTTCCCAGTGCTCCATCCTCGCCCCATTGCGCCTACTGTTCCCCTCCTGGTCCCCTTACCCCCGGGCGCCCCGTTCCCCCAAGCCTCTTCCCCTCCCACTCTTCCTTCACCCTGGGAATCTCCAGCCACCCGGACGGACCTCATCGTCCCCCACCAAGTGTCCACAGCCCCCACCCCCCACTTCCCACCCCCCCAGAACAGCACCTGGCCTGGCCCTGCCCCCCCCACCCTGGGCCCTCCTAACCCTGGGGCCCCCACCCGCCCGTCTGCTGTGGGATCAGATGAGGAACCAGGCCTCCCAGCTCGAGCCTTTTCATCACTTTTATCAGCCTCTTGGAGGGGATGGGAGTGTGAATCTCTTGCTCAGAACAGTGCTCAGCCCTGCCCGGGCCACAGTAACCCACAGCTGCCCTCCAGGACTCCGCATTCCCTCTCATGCTGTGAGGAGCTGGCCAGGGAGAGGGCCAGGTCTGTCCCCCACCCCTAGTCCCAGCCAGAGGAGGGGCAGGCGTTAGTTACGGAGGAAAGGAGTTTGCTCAGGTCGTTTCAGAGAAGGTTCATGTCAAAAAGGGAATTAAGCAGGGGGAGTGTGCTAGAAAGTGACCCCTGCTGGGGGAGGCTTCTCTGGGGAGGTGATGCTTGAGTAGGACATGAACAATGAGGAATCCTCCCAAGGGGGCTCACCCAGGGCACTTTTTCTTGAGTGGTCCCCCCAGCTCCCCCACTTTACAGGAAGGCAAACCGAGGTTCTGTGGCTCACAGCAGGCAGGAGTGGAATTCCCATCTTTTCTGTAACCACCGAATAAATGAAGACCTTGACCTGGGCCAAACCCCCCCAGATCCCTGCCCTAATGCTGGTCAGCCTGATGGCCACAGATGGGTGATCACCACCTCACCCTGCCTCCATACCCAGCTGTTCCACAAATATTTGCTGGGTTCATCTGATGCACATCTAGAGATGAGGACTAGAGTGCGGAGCAAAGCAGACAGACTTCCTTGCCCTTGGAATTCTGACCCGGCTCCTTGGGCTCCAAGGCCTGACTCAGTGCAGGCCCAGAAGAGGAACCCACTCCCTGGCGTTTTCACCTCCTCCTGGCAGGCTGGTATCTCGGAGAGGTCAGCTGGGCGCTGGGTGGGCTGGACTCCGCACACAGTGGCAGGTATCCCAGCAGACCTATGAGAAAACACATTTTCAGGGTGTCCCCCTGCTGCTTCCACAGGGGCATTGACGGGGTCGACAAGACCAGGAGGGTGTGGGCAGGAGGCAGTGTAGATGGTCGGACGGGGTCAGAGGCCTGACATGGCCGCCAGCTGTGTCTGGCCCGGGGGTGGGGGTGGGGGTGCCGGGGCTGGTGCGGGGCAGAGATCCTTAGCCTTTCCCCTGAGGACGACATGGAACTGCTGAGAAGGGACCCTCTGGTGGCCCAAAGGGTGGAGAGGCCCCTCCCCCTGCAGAGGCCCCTGTCAGGTCATTCAGTCCAGAGGGGAGACATTCTCTCTGTGTTCGATTATGTGTGGGATGGATAAACAGAGGCACGGGGTCCCGGAGACACTGACCCACGGGCCAGCGTCCGAGTGGAGGTCACAGGGAGTGGCTTCTCATCCCCTCTCATCTCCTGACTCACCCGGGCAGGCCCTCCCCGTCTGGGCCTCCACTCTTCCTCCTGGAGAGCCAAGGGCTGGGCCAGACAGCCTATGGCCCGCAGCCCCCACCCTCCAGGAGCTGCTGGAGCTGAGCAGGGGCTCAGAAGTGTCTGGCTCCCTTCTCTCCTCCTTCTTTCTCAAGCTCTCCTAGATGCCCAGATTCTCTGTCTCTCTGACAGCCAGGAGAGGCTTGGGATGGAAAGGAAGGGGCAGAGGCCACCCCCTGGGTCTTGCGGCTGGCTCCCCAGAGAGCAGCTTGTGGGTCCTTCCCGAGTGGGTAGTGCCACAGGCCATGACTGCAGAGGCTGGGACCCAGGCTGGGCTGGGCCTCCACTGGCACCAGATGGAGCCTGGGGCCCCTGCATTCCTTGAGAAACCCTATGGCTTCAGCCAGGCACCTCGGGGTCTCTGCTCTGTTGCACGCCAAAGGTCCCCTCCAAGTCAGTAACTTCATCAGAGTCCACCCATGGTATGGTTAGTGCAAGGGTCCCAAAGAGGGCCCTGTCCCTTGCACCCTGCCAGATGTGGGGCAAGGCCAGGAATAGGTACCCTCGGGGCCAGAGGCAGTGGGCCCAGCCCAGAACCGCAGGGCCTGGACACGCTTAGCCCTCCACTGGCCGAGGGGCCTGGAAGGCAGGTCTGGTGGGAACAGGGCTCCCAGGTCAGCTCAAGTCCCAGAGGTCTTAGCCTGGGAAGGAGCCCAGGGCACAGCTCCTGAGTCTCTGGCTCCTTGTGGGTGGGGGCCGTGGTCTACAGACTGTCTGGCCCAGCCCTTGGCTCTCCAGGAGGGAGAGTCGAGGTCCAGATGGGGAGGGTCTGCCTGGGGGAGTCGGGGATGAGAAGAAATTAGAAGCCACTCGTGAATCCGTTTATCCCTCCTGCACGTAATCATCAAGCACCCACCACTGGCCGGACGCTGCTCTGGTTGCTGGGAAATCACGGGAACCATGCAGGAATTCCTGCCCTGTGGGTTCATACTCTAGACAGGGGAGACAGACATAGACCAAAACAGGCAGCGTACACAGGACACTGGGGACATGATGCACAATGGGACAGTGCAGGGGCACAGGGAGTGACAGGAAGGAGGGTGTTGCAATCGGAGAGGCCTGTGTCTGCAGACCCTAAGGAGGTGATGGCTCAGCAAACTGGGCAGGAGCAGAGGCCTGGGAGCCAGCTGAGCAGAGCACAGGTGGAGGGAGAGGACAAGGTCAGGGGTCAGGGGTCAGAGAGGGCTACCCTGCCAGGTCGCTGAGATGTCCAGCCCCCAGGAGGACCCTGGTTTGTCCTGAGGGGAATGAACTGGAGGATTCTGATCAGCATCACTCTGACTGCCCTGCGAGAGCTGGGAGGGAACGGGGTGAATGTAGGAGACCAGCTGGGAGGCTGTGGTGGCCTGGATGGCGGCAGTGGCTGAGGAAAGGTGAGAAGCAGTCAGATTTGGGACGCACTTTTGAGGCAAGGCCAGTAGGATGTCCTGATGGGTCAGGTGTGCGATGGAGGGGATACTGGCTCAAGGTTTGTCCAGAGTAGTGAGGAGGGTGGCATGTTATTGGCTGAGATGGGAATGGATGCAGAAGGAGGGGGCTGGGGAGGAAGACCGGGGCTCAGTTCTGGACGTGCCATGTCGAGATGATGCCCACGGACACGCAGTGGCACTGTTGAGTGGCAGCAGCTGTTGGAGTTGGGAGTTGGGGGAGAGATCAAGCTGAGATAGAAAGCTGAGAGTCGTCAACATTCAACGGTATTTAAATAACAAGAGTGGCTGCATTCAAGGGCTGAGTGCAGACAGAGACGAGAAGAGGCCCCTGGGCCTCCCAACTTCGAGAGGCTGGAGAATCAAGGGGGAACCAGCAAAAGAGACTGAGAAGGAGCAGGTGGGGGCAGGAGAGACCCAGAGAGGAGGGCCTGGAAGCCAAGTGCAGAGAGCCATTCAAGGAGGGAGGAGCCTGCTGTGTCGGATGCCCCGGCTGATAGACCAGGTGGGAGGGGGAACTCCGCACTGACCACTCGACTTAGCAATTTGACCTTGAGCGGAGCAGTTTTGGTGAAGTGGCAGGGCTGGAGTTTAGGGGAGAACGGCTTTTATAAAGATCCAGGAATCAAGATGGTGTGGTATTGATGCAAAGGAGACAAATAGAACAGACGGGAGTCCCACACGGAAGGGCAGTGGAGGGAAGGGTGACATTCCCAGTGATGGATCCCTGGATCCCTCCCTCACACCGTACACAGCTATCATTCCAGGTGGATAAGAGAGACAAATGTCAGTGGTAAACCCTTTATGGGGGAAAAAAGACAAAGGAGACCATCTTCACGGTCTCGGAACCCACAAAGATTTGTTGTTTAAGTAGGAAACACAAAAACACCAAACCTGAGAAAAAGACAGAAAGACACTGTTCAGAGAATGAGAAGACAGGCCCCAGACTAGAAAATGCATCTCTGACAGAGGACACTATTATTATACCAAAATATGCGAAGAACTCTTAAAACTCAACAATAAGAAAATGAACAACCCAAATAAAAAGTAGGCAAAAGATCTGAACAGACACGTCACCAAAGAAGAAATACAGAGGGCAAAAAAGCACACAAAAAGACACTCATGTCATCAGGGAAATGCAAATTAAAACAACAATGAAATACCACTACACACCTATTGGAATGGCTAAGATCCAGAACACTGACACCACCAAATCCTGCGAGGGTGCGGAGCAACAGAAACCCTCATCATTCTGGTGGGAACGCAAAATGGTACAGACACTGTGGAAGACAGGTTGGTGGTTTCTTACAAAACTAAACATCCTCCTACCATGCAACACAGTAATCATGCTCCTGAGTATTTACCCAAATGAGTTAGAAACTTACGTCCACACAAAAACCTGCACACGGATGTTTACAGCAGCTTTATTCATAATTGCCAAATCTGGAAGCAATCAAGACGCCCTTCAGCAGATGAATGGATAAATAAAGTGCGCTACATCCAGACAATGGACTATTACTCAGTGCT